CAACATATGCTTATATTAACATCACCCAGTAAAGAAGAGACTGCAGAAGTTCTTAAGCAGCATTACAATTGAGAGGGAAAACGTCTATGAAAAAAGAATGGAAAGCAGCATCCTTAAAATATAAGTCATGTCAAGGAGGAAAGATTGTGAATGATTTTTTTTTCTATTCCCAAACTTCTCTAATAGACTGATAAACTATCAAATACAAAATACAAAGCTCGTAAGTTCACAATCTTACATGTGCACAATTTCAAATTTTAAAATGAGTACCAATATAAGTCTAGGGGAGGGAGGGAGCAATTGGGAGGATCTTTTATGAACTGTACATCTAACCAATATACTGTATACTTGAAACTAATTTAAATAAATTTTTTTTAAAAAGTACATGAGAAAAAAATATATATAAGCTTGAAATTCAGCTAAATTCTAACTCTATACTTCTCATCAATGGAAGACAGCCCTTTTTTCAATGAAGGAACAGATACAAATTATGGCAAAACTGCATTAAAGTTTATAAATAAGCAAATACTGGAAATAAACCTAAATTACTTTCCAAAACCACAAATTTTTTCCCAATACGCTTTTTATTCAATTACCTCTAGAAACAGCTATAAATAATAACGCAAATAAAAATTTAAGATTCAAATCCAAGATTCTATTAACAAGTATATTACAACTGATCTAATGAAAAAAATGAATTCAACTTACCTTTCCATAAGTTTCCTGACTATTGATGAACTGACCTCCAAAAAGTGAAAGCAAAGACTTTATTTCCTATATTGAAAATATTATAGAGAGAATACATTTTAACACTGGGAACTCAAAGTCTATTAAAAGATATAGGTATAATACAATTAAAAGCTAAAGAGTGGGTTAATGATCTACCTAAGGCATTTAAATTTCAACACCAGACAAATTACAACTTGGATTCTGAAAAACTTTTAGTCACAAATTTAAGTAATTTCTGAGAAATTTTATAAAAAAAAAAAGGAAGAAATGAAATGAAAAAAAGAGCAGATGCCAATGATAAAATCTAGAAAACACTCAAGTAGTATAAACAATGAACAACATCATTACATTAATCTCTACCAAGATATGATCATCAGATTCCTCTAACAAATAAAACAGTAAAACATATTTCAAGGCAGTCCTCAGTTTTTGTCATCTTACACTTCACTGATCTGCTCATCCAACTAAAACCACTGTACACTTGAAATAATTTTAGTAACCAATGTCACCCCAATAAGTTTAATAAAAAAATAAGAAAAACACTTTTAGATTGTCAATATTTTGGTTATAATTAAATGTGGCATTTATCCTATATAATAACATCGCATTTACATATTATACCATAGTCCTGCTTAATATAAAAATTTTTAAAAATTATTCCAAAATAAGTGTTTCTGCATTTCACCACTGAGATTTTGCTCACCCTCACGTTTAGCAGGTAACTCTCCTCTGTTCCCCGACCCCATCCAGTGGCAAATGCAGGTAACTGCAAGCTACACTGAGCTCCCCTCAACAATGAACCCCTTATACTTTGTGCTCATATAGCAAAAAGTAGGACAGAGTAGTATGAGAAGTATGGGATACACTCATGCAGGAGAACATCATAAGTTTCTCTTACTTGGCACACACAGTCCGTTTCATTAAGTTTCTTGCAATATCTTCAGAGGGAATACTAAGAATCCAAAAAGGAGACTGAAAGATATAACAATATACAACTTACTTCTAAGTGGTTTTATGATCTCCTATGCTTTATTCAAGACAATAAGGAGAGATTCCTATTTGTTACTTTTATGTAAGTAAGAATACATGCTCTGACTCAAATCAAAATTAAAATTGTTCTAGGACAAACAGAGACACATGGATAATAGGCTAGTGGTTACCAGAGGGTAGGGGGCAGGAGGGAGGTAGATGGGGTAAAAGGGGTCAAATATGTGGTGACAGAAAGAAATCTAACTATAGGAGGTGAACACACAATGCAATATGTGTGTGTGTGTGTGTGTGTGTGTGTGTGTGTGTGTATATATAT